TGAGTAAGCCCCATTCTGATCGAATACTAAGCGAGTTCTAAAAATCGAAAGATTGAGCGGCACATATTCGTTGCGAAGAATATGTACCTTCCAACAAGCTCTCCAGCTATTGGAGAGTAGATCAAGGGTGCTCGCTTCTCTCCACCTTCTTCATCTTCGATCATTCTGCACTCGATATCCCATCCGCGGACTCCATTGTATCTCCTGTAAAGCACCAGAATAATTTGCGTTTATGGGCTCGGCCAATTCTCACTTATCAGACTTGAATGGCTCTCCCAACAGCTTGTTTTTAGAGTTAGACTCACAAATCTGCCCAGTACACATACCTGTAAGCCAGATAAACAGTCTCAGATGACTTAGAGTACGTAACAAACTTACAATTTTGTAAGTGATAGGTAGGATCAATGAGTTTGCCTTCTTTATAAAGTTTCATTTCGATGTGCGGTTCGACGTCCTTTTGTGCTTTATCGTCGAAGCAGTTCCTGTAAATAGTAAGATTCGATGCCACCCGACCAGCGTTTCTGGATTGTTTTATTGTCTGCTGAAGAGCTCCTTTATTATTTCCCACTTCTCTGCTCTAACTAGACTGCACCCCACACATCAGCAGCCCCAACCGGTGCGTTACAAATATGTTGTTGAGCTATTTTTTATGCAATTGTCATTCATAGATTTGATATGAGTTGCTTTTGTAATGTTATAACTAATCACCATTTGGTTGTAAGAAGTAGATCACGATTATGATCAATAAATTATGTCCTGTGGGAAGAAGTATACCACAGTTAAGACTGACTGAGTGAGCAGCCGCAGAGAGGAGATTAGAAGAAGAAAAAATCTTTGCTTTGCTTCCGAGGGTTGCAGGTGCATGAAAACCAACAATACATAATTACAGCGCTGCGACTTCTCTTCATCCCGAAGTGATTGATTTATCTGATTAATACCGATATCGTATCGTAGATATAATTGAGAGTAATATTTACGCAGAATAAAAAATAATTGATTCATTGAATGCTAAAACAAACGAAGTCTCGAAAGAATTGACCAGTTTTCTTAGCGACTTACTCTGGCTAGCATGGTAAAGAATATTGTACTCGCACTAAGCTTATCGCATCGCGACTTCTTTAAAGAAGTCCGCTGCCGTTGCATGAAGGGTCCAACGCCAGTCTCGCGCTGTCCTATCTCTCATTCAGCATATAAACATTGCAGCCTTAACTCGAAAGTCAACCTTTCACCTTTTTTCACCATCTATCTATTTGAGAATGTGGTCCAATCTGGCAAGTTTGGCCAT